CTACCCTCCTACGAAGCTTCTAGTGAGGAGACCGTAGACAGAAAGAGCCACAAGAGGAATGGATGGGTAGGGCGGGAGGAATCTTCATCCTACAAACGCTTCCCTCCTTCCATCCCCCCTCTCAGAGCCCAAGCAGGGGAGCCAGGGGGCGGGGTGGGGACCTGTCCCAGTTGGAGCCATCTGTGCGCTGTGCTGAGAAGCACTTCTTCCGCTCAGTACAAGTTGAGTGATGCAGGCTGCCCACTGAGCACCTAGACCCTGGGCCAGGCACCGGGTGGGGCAGAGCAGGGAGGCCCCCACTCTGTATAGTCCAAGTTCCCCCGAGGACTCACATGGGCCGCATCAACTGGCTGCCTGCTCTGGGCTTTGTGGTCGCTTGGCTGTGATGGTAGCCATTTCCCCTGGCCTGGGGCCCCAGGAGTCTGACTCACGGAGGGGAGCCAGGCCCAGACTTACCTGCTGTGCAAGCACTTTCCCAGGTCCCATTTCTTCTTAGCCTCATGGGTCCTGGGAGGCGAGCCAGGACAGCCAGATGCCTTTATTGGAGCACAGAGCCCCTGAAGAGAGTGCCTTGCCTGTGGGCGCCCATGTGGAAAGAAACTCATTGGAATTCACAGTCTAAGCCTCTGAGCTCTGCTGTAACACTTTGGGAAGGGTTGATCTTCCAGGCCCTGGTGCGTTCCCCCCCCCCCCCTCGCTCGCCGGCCCAGACTTGGGGAGGCGCCCTCCCCAGACTTGGGGGTAGGCCATGTACCCAACAGGCTTTGTAATATTATTGGTAGGATCAACGAATGAATGAATGCACTCTCCTCCATGTGCTCCAAATGCTCTTAGAAGTTTGCCTGTCTTTTACCAGAGTCTGGTGAGATCTGCTTAGTCTCCCTACCACCTGTCTCAGGGGCTTTTCACCAGAAGTAGAGACTCAACCTTCCCAGCCACGGCAGACTCCCCAGTGACCCCTAACCCTGGGTGGAAGATGTTTGCTGGAGTGCCACTGTCCCCGAGAAAGCCAGTGTTCCCGATTTGATTCTCAGGCCCCAGGAATCCCGCTGCTGAGAGCCAGCTCATTGTCTAGCCTAGGACAAGCCCCTTGACCTCAGCTTCTCCCTCTGTCAATTGGGAAGAAAATCACTCACTGTCTTACCAAGGATGCGCAGACAGATGAGCCGAGCCCATCAAGTGGATGGTCGGGCTGAAACCCGACAGCGGCACCTCCTGGTCAAAGTGTGGAATTGCAGCCTAGCTCTGTCAGACACAAAAGAGGGCCCCAAAGTGATAGGACCTCCAAACCCAAGAATGAGGAAACCCCAAAGTCAGAGAGAATTCTTCCGGCTCAGGCGGAGCTAGGGTTTTTAAAAAAAACTCTAACGAACCCAGATCAGCAGAGTTAGAATGTGAGGGAGGGGTTCCAGAAGAACATTCGCCAGGCTGTATCCCTGACTCACAGAGAAATATACTACTGGTTGGTGATGCTTCATTGGGGGTTTTGGTTTCTGGAAGACAAAAGTGAGGGGGAGGCGATCTGTGGTCTGCATTCAGCCTAGGCTTCAGTCCCAGTTCTGGCATCTGGCAACCTGAGACCCGGGCAAGTAGTTGACCTTTTCTGAGCCCCACGTGGTAGTGATAGCTGGTATAATTAATTTTTAGGAATAGTCTCCACCTTGAAATGGCACCTGTGTGGCACCGAACAGAGTATCTGCTCTTGTCATCCTTCCAGCTTTGACGTTTAGGAGCCCACGGGTTTCATTAGAATTGAGGAAGTATCCAAGGCTGGCCTAGCAGGTGCATGGGAAGCTGGTGGGGTGGCCCGGGCTGGGGCCACAGAGAATGCCACCTGCCTGGGCAACTCAGACCAGGCTGGTAGGCATCTTGGCATGAGGCCACCTTCTTCCCTCCTCCCAAGGTGTCTGTCTTCCGGGGAAGGGTGTCAGGTCTGGCGTGGGAGTGGGGAAACACGGATCTTCTTGGCAATGGGCACGTGCCTGGGAGCTGGGGAGGGGGGCAGGAGACTGCCCTGGGCCCTTCATGGAGGGTGGGGTGGGGACGAGGGTTTGCTAGACAACCCCCCCAGGCAGGCATCCCAGGGTCCTGGGGTATCAGAACCAGAACAGCTTCCAGGTAGTGCCGATGGCTAGACTGAGCCCTGGAGAGTGAGGGACTGGCCTGAGGTTAGCCGTGGCCGTGGTAAGGGGAGTCTAGCTTGGTGCCCAACTCTGGCTCCTCCCCACCTACCCCCCCTCCCCCGCCCCAGCATCTCACTGAATCCTCACTGTCGCCCTGTGGACTGGTGGGCTCTTCTCACCCCCATTTAGCAGACGAGCAGCTGAAGCAGCCTGAGCCCAGGTCTGGAGGACCCAGCCCCTGTGCTTTACCCATAGTGGGTACTCACTGGACTGTACCCCCCCTTCCTGCTCCTCTGCCCATCTCCCGCCCCCAACTCACACAGCTCAGACCTCGGGGCCAAGGTCCTCGGTGGGCATGCAGGCACACAGCCTGGCAGGCAGGAGGGGCGCGCGCCAGTTTCTGGATGAGCGCGTGCATAGAATTCTAGGCTTTGGGGGGACTTAACCCTCCTCTTACGGGCAAGGAACTGGCCACTGGACAGAAGAGAAGCGTCGTTCTGAGGGCCTGCCAGGTGCCAGGCACTGTCCGTGAGATGGTCCCTGTCCTCGTGGAGCTCACAGTTATGGGAGTGGAGGTACAATTAGAATGCAGCGTGCCTGTGCCGTGATGGGACCACGGGGCAGAGGGGGGCGGGCACAGTCTGTCTGTCTCCGTGGGGCTCCCTCTCCCTTACTCCGGCGCCCACCGTCTTGGCCTTGCATCACCTGTTCCTGTCTTGAGCCCACCCCAGCCACGCCAGGGTGTCTGAGCCACCTGTGGCTTCCCAGACCACACCTGGCCCCAGCGGTTCCCTTCCCTGGGCCTTGTGCCTTCCAGCAGGGGGCTTCTGGGGCCCAGCTGCTCTGGGGTTGAGTCCCGGCTCTGCCACTTAACCAGCCAAGCAAGGCCTTGAGCAAGCTCCTTAACCTGAGCCTCAGTTTTCCCGTCTCGAAAATGGAGACAACACAAAGGGAAGGCTCCGCACATGACGGGCATGTTCATTTATGTGGATTGTGGGGACCAGCCGGAGAGGCCCGGTTCAGGGTCTCTGGCTTCACCTGGACTGCCGTTCCAGACGGCTGAAATAGCTTTCGCTTTTGCAGAGTGGTTCGCCGAGCCGTGAAGTCGGGTTCCAGAAGCCGGGAAGCCGCACGTCCCATCCAAGGTACTTTCTGAGTCCTTCCTGCCTCCTTCCCTCCATTAAAAAAGAAATATTTTTTTTTCATGTTTATTTTTTGAGAGAGAGACAGAGCGCGAGCGGGGGAGGGGCAGAGAGAGAGGGAGACCCAGAATCCGAAGCGGGCTCCAGGCTCCGAGCCGGCAGCACAGAGCCCGACGCGGGGCTCGAACCCACGAACCGCGGGATCATGACCTGAGCCGAAGTCAGATGCTCAACCGACTGAGCCACCCAGGCGCCCCTCCTTCCCTCCGGTTTTGATGGTCTGCTCTTGCCATGAGCACCATCCCTGGGCCCCAGGGTCAGGGTCTGCTGAGTCACCAGCAAGCCGGGCTGGGGACAGGGCCTGGCAGGCGGTCGAATGCCCAGTGGAGGCAGAAGTCGTCTGCATCCGTCAGAAACCCCCCCAACCGCACTTGTCCATGAGGTGTTCTCCCTTCCGTGTGCCAAGGGCCGCAGGTGTGCGAGCCCTGGGGCTGGCCAGGGGTCTGCACACAGGATGCGTGTTCTAGTGTCACGGTCGGGCCCTGTCCAGGCTCTGCTGCGCAGGGCTGGGTGACTGGGCCAGCACATCTCCTCCCTGGACTTCCAGGCCCAGGCACAGGGGAAGTTTTCAGTACACGGGAGCCTGCATCTTCGTGGTCGTGATGATGGGGTGCCCCTTGTGGGCTCCCTCCTGCGGAGGGGCGTCCACGGCTTTTCCCAACAGTGCCTAATAAAGGCCCTGACTTTGGTCAGACTCCAGTGGGAACGCCTCTCACCAGACACAAGAATCCCCCCTACAAATGCAGGATGCCAGGGCCACGTCCAGGGAGGCTGGGACCAGATGGTTTGGGTCCAAATCTGGGCCTGCTGCCTGCTGACCGTATGACCTCCAGCAAATGACCCCACCTCCGCGACCCTCAGCTTCCTCATTAGCAAAGCGGGCATGATAACAGCATTTAGTCTCGGGACCTCGTGGAGAGTGCCGGGGGACACAGGGCAGGTCCTAACGGCCCAAAGGCTTAGGGAGAGCCTCCCGGATGGAAGAAACAGTGGCTGCAAAGACAAGGACACAGGGGTCTCTGGTGCCTCAGTGTAGCTGAGGAGACAGATAAGGCGGGACGCATCTGTCCCTGCTGCAGAGGGACAGATCTATCTTTTTTAACTCCAGGAAGGAACTCCCTCCGCCCGTCTCCTTCCTTCTCTGGACCTCAGTGTCTCCGTCTGTATCCTGGAGCAGCTGATCACTGAGGCGCGTTTGAAAAGAGTCTAAACTCCCAATGTGCGAGGGCTCGCTAGGGCACCAGGTGGGGGGGGACGGGGTACGTGGAGGCAGGGACTCTGCACCCTAGCATCCTGTTCTGCTGGGAGGCAGCATTGCATGCTGGGACGAGCTCTGTGACCTTGAGCCAGCTGCTCACCTGTCTGAGCCCCAGGGTCTGCCGCCCCAACGGACACAACAGCGGGTCACGGTAGGGGTGGGGGGTGAGCCACGTGAGGCCCCCCAGGGCCATGCCTGGCAATCTCTGAGCTGCCCAAGGCTTGGGGCCAAAGCCCCGCCCAAGTCTCCAGAGCATCCTGGCCCCGTCCCAACAGCTCAGCCTCAGGCACCTCGTCTACCTGGTGAGGGAGCGCTGAGGCTGCCCAAGGCCAAAGTGGGGGCTGCTGGCCGGTTGGGATGGGCTGGTTCTGAGTCACTCTCCTTCCTCCATGACAACCTCCCCCTCCCCCAGACGAGATGTCCAGCAAAGGCTCCGTGGTTCTGGCCTACAGTGGCGGCCTGGACACCTCCTGCATTCTCGTGTGGCTGAAGGAACAAGGCTATGACGTCATCGCCTACCTGGTAAGGAGGCTCGCAGTGTGTCCGTCTTTCTACCCGTTTGTCCTGCTGTCCGTGAGCTCGCTCTCACTGCCCCCGAGCCCAGCTTCCCCTCCCTAAGCCTGTCAACTGTAGGCAAACACTTTTTGCTGTTCTGCCTCCCTTTCTTCCCCGGTAAAATGAACATCCGTGGTGTCCCCAGGTCTGGGGTGCCCCACAGGGCACCGAGGAGGCCAGCTGTATGCGGCTGACCGGAGCGGGGGACGCCAGAAATGAGCTTGGCGGTGTGACCCGGCCAGCCTGCCTGCAAGGGGCCGTGGGCTCTGGCCTGCAGCGGGGACCATGGAAGGCACACCGTCTTCCTGTTTCCGGAAGCCCCTTGTCAGCACCCAGGAAGTCTGCAAAGATCATAGACTCCTGCAGTGGCTGAAGGGTTCTGACTGACTAGGCTTGGATCATGGGCGTATCCCTACCTTGAGCAGGGGACGTGATTTGCTCCCCTCCATTCCTATGGAAAGAGGCCCCCGAAAAGAAGTTTCTGGTCCCAGAGGAAGCGAGGACAGTGCTCCACATAGACAAAAGTTCAGCCGTTGCCAGGAGTGACTGGTTTGCAGTTGAAGTCAAGATACCTAAGAGCGCCCGGTCCCCTTGTCATTCAGGTAGGGGAGGGTGAGGCCCAGGGAGAGAAGCGTCTCGCTCACAGTCACCTGGTAAGTGAGAGCCACCTCCATTTGAGGGGTGTTGTAGACAGCTTTGGCAGGGGGAGAAGGGGCTGAAATTCTTCTCCAGCTCTCCTTCGTGCCCCCGGGCTGATTAGGCCTCTCTGCTGCTGTTTCTCAGGCCAACATCGGCCAGAAGGAAGACTTTGAAGAAGCCAGGAAGAAGGCGCTGAAGCTCGGGGCCAAAAAGGTACCAAGTGGCGGCAGGATTTGGGGTTGGAAGTGGGGTTTTGACCTGGTGGAGGCAGCAGTGGGCATGGCTGCCTCAGGGTTCCTTGTCCCCTGCATCCTTTTCAGTTGGGTCCTCTCGCTTCCAAGAGTATGGGCTCGATTCCTTCTGTTTTCAGGTGTGTGGATGCCATCATCTCCCTGCCTCCCCTACCCACCTTCCCACCACGTCCTCATCCCCCCTGCCCTGCTGTCTTCCTCTTCTCCATCCGTCGCTCTGCCTGCCCATCCCTCCTTTATGCCTCTGTCCCTCCACCCATGATTCACTCATCTATCCATCCGTCCAACCATCATCCAGCCAGCCGGCCATCCATTCACTCATGTATCGCCCCATCCAGCCAACCTTCTTCCATCCGTCCATTCATCCATCCCCCCATCAACGATCCATCCATTCATCCGTCCATCTATCTACCCATTCTCTCATCCATCCTTCGTCCATCTACCTGTCCATTCCTCTTCTATCTCTGTCCATCATTCCATCCATTCAACAGAATCAGAAAATCCCAGTTGACTTCGGTGCCCTGATTGAGCATCTAATCACGTGGCAGGCAGGCCCTCTGTTGGGTGTGGAGCCCATGTAGTAAACAGGGCCAACATGGTCCCTGCTCACACAGGCTCACAGTGTAAAGTCTGAGCTGCTCCCCGGGGCCGTCTCTGGTACCCTCACCCCTTCACTTGGGCAAGTGGGCAGGGGACACAGCAGGGGTGGTGTGAAAAGCCATCAGTTCACCTGCTTGGTCGGAACTGGTCCCCTCTGCAGGGCACTTCCTTGGGGTTCTCAGAACCTAAAAAGGAGCCTGGCACGTACAAAGAGTTCAATTTGCACATTAAAATAATGCAGGAGTCCCATATCCCATCACTGGCCTCAGGCCTAAAACTGGATCTCCCTCATGTCTCAGAGAGGAGAGGGGTTGTCTGAGCAGGAACCCAGAAGGTGGGATAAGAACACTTGAGTGTTGAAGATGAGCGGGGCCTTCACATGAGTTGGGCTTTTGTGTAAAGATCTGTCCTTAATTCATTACTCTAGATCATTTTTAACCTTGTTCTCTGAGGATCCCAACTATTTTTATGTACTTGGAATTGGAGTGGGAATTTCTTGCCCATACCATCAGGGTATAGTCTCATTGCTTTTCGTTTAATTTTCATTTTCCTTCATTCTTTGAGTCATTTAAAAAAAAAATAGTTTCTTTTTTTTTAAATTATTTTTTAATGCTTATTTATTTTTGAGAGAGAGACAGACAGAGCACAAGCAGGGGAGGGGCAGAGAGAGAGGGAGACACAGACTCGGAAGCAGGCTCCAGGCTCTGAGCTGTCAGCACAGGGCCCGACGCGGGGCTCGAACCCACAGACTGTGAGATCATGACCTGAGCCAAAGTCGGGTGCTTACCTGACCGAGCCACCCAGGCGCTTCCCCCCACGAAATGGTTTCATTTTAAGCTAAATATAGGCTCACAGGAAGTTGCAAATATAATATAAAGAACCCCATGACCATTTTCCACTCTTGAAAATACTTGAGTGCCCCATAGTTTTGTGGATTACATCTACTGATACGACGTTATAAATAAAAGCTGAAATTAAACACAGTAACCCACTTTAAAAGACCAATATTAAACACATCCTATGTTAACATCAGTGACATTTTTACCTCAGAAAAATAACCATTTCCAAAACAAAAACGTTTGGTGAAAGCAGCATTGTGGATGTTGCATTTTTATAAATCTCTTTCATGTCTGGTTTAGCAGAAGACAGGTGGATTCTTACAGCTGTGTCTCCATTCATTTTGCGATGTGTTGTTTTGGTTGACATTGTGAAGAAAATACGGCCTCATGAATGTAGCCCTGGAAGAGAGAGGAATATTTTATTTTATTTTATTTTATTTTTTATTTTTTAAAATTTACGTCCAAATTAGTTAGCATATAGTGCAACAATGATTTCAGGAGTAGATTCCTTAGTGCCCTTGACCCATTTCGCCCATCCCCCC